CTAGAATCAATCTAGAATATAATCTGTTAGATCTACCACTGATCTACCTCCCCGAGGTTGTGTTATATAACTACTAACGCCAACGTGCTAAATAGCTATTATGTGATCACGCTGGTCACGTGATTGTTATAATTCTGGGCAACCTCAGTATTACTAAAAAATGGTAGGTCAATAAGTTTTTTTTTTATTATTAAAAAATTATAAAGTATATATTAGATTATTAAACAAGTTTTTTAAATACGGTATAAAAAAAAAAATTTAGATTTATAATTTTTTAAATTTCTACACATTTTAATAAACGTACTACAGTATAAACTAGTAAAAAAACAACCTAAATCCAGTACAAAATATTTTTAAGATTGAGCAGCTTTTTGAGCGGCTTTATTATTTTTTGGCATTTTCTTTTTACCCTCTAAATTGTCTAATTCGGATTGTGAATAATAATATGGAGCAGCTATTAAAAAAAGTTTTTTTAAGTTAGTATTTAGTTTTTTTTCAAAAGTTTGTGAAACAAGGTTTTCAGATTAATAAAATAAAAACCAACCTTCTATTAACCATTCAGGTTTAATTTCCATTACTTGACGCATATACTCTTTACTTGTAAGTACCAATTCATAAAATACAATCCATTTTGGATTTACTTGAAATAAAGAACTGCTAGGATGAATATGTATTGTTCGACCCGGTTCGCCATACTTTGCTTTCTGATAAGATTCACCAAAACGTGAAAGCTTTGCGGCATTCATAAAGAATCCTGATACAATTGACTAAAAAAACATGAAGCATTTTATTAAAGCAATTTTTTTTAACTAATAATTAAAATTTTATGATTTTAAAATGATATTATTTCATACCTTTTGAACTGGTACTATGTCACCAGGATTTGGGTTAGATTTTAAATCTACTTCAGCACGTTCACAAAGACCAACAAGTTGATCACGAACGTCTCTTGCTCTAGACATGGAACGATAGACTACAAAATTTTCGTAACACCAATTCATTGAATAGTTTGTGTCTACCCACTATATATTAAATAAATAAATTAAATTGCATCAAGAAAATTAATAAAATGAGAAAATAATCATTTGTATTTGATTTACCTGTTCCCAAACATTTAATAATGTAAAATGATCACCACCAGGACGGGTAAAATTCTGACGAGCTTTATCTGCATGGAATTTTTTGTCTTTTGGTCGATAAAAAACAGAACTTTGAACAGTAAGCATGCTTATAATAGATATCACCTAGAAACGTAAATAACCGTAAATAATGTAAATAGATAAACATAATTATATATTAAGGTATATTAAGGTATTAACGAATATGGTAATGATAGGAAAAATTAAAAATTCTCACTTCTTCTGTGCAATTATATTTTTCCGACCATATTACTGATTTGGATAAAAATGGGTCTAAAGGAAATTCAGCCATACGCCTTCCTAATTTGGTCAATTCCCCATTGTTATTAAGAGCGCCAAGGGCGTATAAATCGTTAAGTGCAGATATTAGTGACTGTTCATGAGGAGGGTCCATAAATTCGAACCTCATTACATCATGAATTCCTATACTCTAAAATAGTCCCAATTAAATTAATTAATTTAGATTTTTGTATATTTATAAACAACTCACATGTTTATGGTTTTAAAAAAAAATACCTTTAACATCAAAACCACATTTCCTAAATTGGTTCTTTGAATTTCTGGAACGGTATTATCTTCTAATTCATTGTGAAATGCATGCTGAGTATATAATCGAAAACAATGACCTGGTCCAACACGTCCAGCTCTTCCAGATCTCTGAACTGCAGAAGCTCTTGAACACTATAAAATGATTAAAAAAATGATGTTTATAATATCTATGATATAAACACATGAAAAATTGATTAATACCTACTGGAACAACTAACAATGATTCCATTCGTGTTTTTGGACTGTATACATTTTGCTTAACGAAACCTGGATCAATGACAAACGCGACACCATCAATAGTGATAGAAGTCTCGGCTATATTGGTAGCTAAAATGACCTACATTAATATATATATATATATATTTGTCATTGATCATATTTCATAAATTATGATAAACATATAAAATATGATAAAAATATAGTTAATATACCTTTCGAGCTCCAGGTGGTGTTGGTTCGAAAATTTTAGCTTGCATATCAGGGGGGAGGTTTGCATATATAGGGCATACCATAAGTTCACGTATCTTGCTACCAAGAACCCTACAAGTATGTTGTAAACTTTCTTGAACAGCTTCAATTTCATCCTGTCCCTGTAATAATGAAGCAATTGAAACAATTGTATTAATTGTATTAATTGTATTAATTGTAGTAATTGTATTAATTGTAGTAATTGTATTAATTGTAGTAATTGTAATAATAATGAATATTACTTACTGTAAGGAAAACTAATATGTCACCATTCTTTTGTGAAATATGCAATTGCATTACCGTAGTGATAGCAGCTGATATATAATTTGCTTCAGGTGCTTTAGTGTAGCATACTGTTACTGGATAAGGCTTTCCAGGAACTTAGATAGATTTAATCAGTATTACAAAATATGATTAGAATAATAGAATAACTGTTAATAAAAAATATTTTTTAAATGCTTACTATTGAAAATTGGCGCATCAAAGTATTCTGCAAATTTTTGAGCATCTAAAGTAGCACTTGATATTAAAAGTTTAAGGTCAGGTCTTACACGGGCAATGTCCTTAAATAATTTAAATTATTGAGAAAAAAAGATGTTAATAATAATATAATAGAATATGATCATAGGATATTATCATAGTAGAGATAAGTAATTAATATTACCTTAACTAATCCAAATAGAATATCTGTATGTAAAGTTCTTTCGTGTGCTTCGTCAATCATTAAACAACTATAGTCATCTAATAAAGGTGTGGATAAAAATTCACGGAGAAGAGTACCATCGGTCATATATTTAAGGATAGTCTTGTCTGAAGTACAATCCTCGAACCTAATCGCGTATCCAACCTATAAAGATGGTCAATTCAATATCATTACAAAAATAATCATAAATATAATAATAAATATAATCAAAAATATAATAATAAATATAATAATAAATATAATCATAAATATAATAATAAATATAATCAAAAAAATATAATAATAAATATAATCAAAAAATATAATAATAAATATAATAATAAATATAATCAAAAATATGATCATAAAATAAAATCATAAATAAAATTTTCACTAAATATATTACCTCATATCCGAGTTTTACACCCATTTCTTCTGCTACACGTGCAGCAACACTCATTGCAGCGACTCTCCTTGGTTGTGTACAACAAATTTTTTTTCCTCCTTTGGTGTAACCTGCTTCACAAAGATATTGAGGCAATTGTGTAGTCTTTCCTGACCCTGTTTCACCCACAATCACTATAGTTTGATACTCATTTATAGCTTTTAGTAATTCTTCTCGAAAAGCAAATATGGGTAAAGACTTGCGCGTCTCCTCAATTGTTTTTGCTAAAAAATACATTAGATAAATATATATGTGATAAATATGTAATTATCTATCAATCTACTAATTTGCCATTGTTTAAAAAATGCACCCACCTTTTCGTTCAGCTTCATCAATTCTGGCTATAATTTCATCTTCTTTATCATTTGATTTCCAATCCCAATCAAGAAAATCAATAGCTTGATCATCAAAAATATAACTATAATCCTCATCATCTTTTATTCTATCTTGAGCACCGACTTTTAATTGGGATTTTACTATTTGAGTTTGTTCCCATTGATCTTGATCAGTGACAAATTTATTTGGATCACGATCTTCTTCATAACGTTGATATAAAACAGCTTCTTTTCTTTTTTTATCTATTTTTCCTTTCTCAGTTATATAATCTATAAATGAAAATTTAAAATATTAATTTACTTAATAATTTGATGCGATTATAAATAAAATAATAATAACTATTATATGTAATAAAACCTTCTGGCATCGCATATTCATCAGATTTTCCTGAAAGACTAAGTCGCTCTTTTGTTAATCTTAAAGTCTCTTTCTTCATTTCAATTTCTCTTCTCTCTCTTTTAGAAAGTTTTTCATCTTTAAACAATAAATCTTCATCAAGAACGCCTAATTCTAACATTTGTAATTGTTTATCTGTTCGATCTTTTAAGTAAGTTTGTCGTGATCTTTCACGAATTTCTGGAAGAAGTTGTTTACGAGCATCAGCATCATCAGCAAGATTTCTCCGTTTAGCAGTTTCACTATCTGCTTTTGATGATCGATCTTCTACAAGCTATTAAAAATTGTTTAATTATAAAATTTGATAATAAAAATTAAGTATAAAAATTGATTGATAATATATTATTATTTCACACCAACCTTTTTCGTTCTTTCCTTATCTTTCTCTCTTAGACGTTTAGCATATTCATCTCTTTCTTTTATATCTTGAATTTTTTCATTTTCTTCTTTTAAGTACTCATCTTCTGATTCTAAAAATATAAGATGAATAGGAAAATATAATTATAATTTTGACCGTGTATATACTAACAAATGAAACAATTAACAAATGAATAAAGTAAAAATAAGAAAAAAAGTTAAAAAAAAAAAAAAAATGAAGCATTTTTACCTTCTTTTATTTCATCAGATATTTTATATTTATCTTCAGAATCACTTTCCCAACCATTTAAAGAATCTTTTTTTCTTAAATTTTTTTCTTTTTTTGACTTTTTAGATTTTTTTGCAGTTTGCTCATTTGAATAATCATCATTATCTTGAAGTAATGTATAAGTTGTTTTATTTTTTTCAACTAATTTTTTTGTTTCTTGTTCCTGTCTTTTTCGTTTTGATACTGCATCCTATTATAGAAAAGATTTTAAGTCATTATTACTAATTTTATTAATTAAACCAAAAAAAAAAATTATAAATGATAAATTTGAGAAAATTTACAGTTGATGAACTCTTTCGAGGAACTCGATCGAATAGTTCATTGATGAATCGTTCGGCCTCTCCAGTTTGTGGTAACTCATTCAAAGTTTCACGTAGTGACTCTCTATTTTTAGCATACTGTGCTAAATATTTAAAAAGTTATAAATTAATTATAAGTCGTAAATTTTAAATCTGATAAGCTGATATAATTAAACTTTTTTAAGAGAGCCAACCTTCTGCGATCATATAATCAACTATGGTCGCATCAGTCATTCCAAACAACTATATAATAGAAAATTGGTATATATTAAAAAAAGCAAAGCTAATAAAGCTAATCAATTCTAGAACAAAGAATACCTTTAGTGTGTTGTCAGAAACCCACGATCGCAAATCCATGGTAAAAGTTTTAACTGCCTGATCAAAGATTGTAAAGATTTGAACGTTTTAAAATTTTTTAACTTTTAACAATTGCAGAATTAACGATAATTTTGCATATATATTATCACATGATATGTACTACCACTAACTTCGCATAACTTTGTGTCATCAAAAATATTTGTTACTAAAAAAATACTTGTTACGTAGGTTAGCATTTATCCGTAATTCAATCGTAGAAATGAATAATGTATGATAGGGAAATTTTTTAACATTTAAAAAACTTAAAAAATGATACCGATTTTTTGAGTTTATCATTATACGTACTAAATTATAGAATTTTTAAAATCAGAAATATTCGAATTTCTAAATTCTTTTTCTCGATCAAAAGATATCAAAAAGGATAATTTATTACATACTGTAAAGAATTCATATCTGATATTTTCTGATACGTATTTTCTGATATATATTACCAATTACCAGATAAGTCTATATATCAGATATATAGTATATATGGGGACCCCCACAGCAAAAAGTGGCATTGGGCCAAAAAAATTTTTTTTTTAAAAAATGCAATTTCTCGAAGAATTAAATAAAATTACAGAATCAAAATTTTTGGCCCAATGCATCTTTTTGCTGTGGGGGTTCCCATATACAAGATCGATCTATATATTTAATAGCAATAGCTAATAAATGAATTTTTTATTTATTTTTTTATTTTTTTTTTTAGTGACAATTTTTTCCTTTTTTTTTTTTCTTATTTTTTTTTTTAAAAAAGACATATATAGTACTCGAAAAAATAAAAAAAAATACACGCGAAAAAAAAAATATATATAATATAACACTACATATTCAGATATATAATATTTATATATAAAATAGAAACTTTACTAACTTATATATTTTTCACAAAAATTCTTGTGAATTTTCCTAAAAACAAATATAATATATATATATATATATAAAAAAAACTTATGTACAGACAAAAAAAAGAGAAAAAAGAAATTTCATTTCTTAAAATGTTTGTGGATAATAATCAATATAAAAAAAAAAATTTTGTACAAATGTATTTTTTTGTTCTTTCGAGAAAAAGAAATGGTCTAACCTCTCACAACAATTACAACAATTGTTATCAATTGATGTTCAGAGGATGCCAGAGAAAAAAAAAAAAAAGATACAATTTTTTAAAAGTAATATAAAACCTCTATTTTTTTGTTTTTACATGATCTCGTTCCTTTACCTAATGTCCAACAACAAGGTAACCTTTTAACATGATATAAAAATATCAGGTACTATATTCGAAATGTAACCCGAATCTAAAAGTTTTTTTTTTTTTATATTGGTTTCGAGAGACAAAATATAAACAAAAATATAGAGAATAAAAAAAAATTTTCATTTTCAGCTTGTAAAAAAGACATGTGTATGTAAAAAAGGTGGCGTTATATTTCTATAAGATTAAAAAAAAAAAAAAAAGGAACACCCAAACATACTTAAACTTAATAACCCAACAACCCAATAATAACCAACAATAATAACCAAATAATAACAAATAATATTCAACAAATTCATTTTGTCCAAAATCAACAAGGAATAAACCCCCTTTTGTAGAAAAAATAAAAAAGATACAACATTGACGTAGGATCAAATAAATGTAAAAAAAGGAAAATGTACATCGGAATACACAGAATATACAACAATAAGATACATGTGAATGTACATTACGTACAACCCTCCTCATATCTAAAAGAAAAAAATAAACAAGCATAAAAAAAAAACCAATCAATAAAGCCAAATTGACGTAAAAAAAAATTTTTGGAGAAGAACCAATCAGTCAATTTGGCAAAAAGTTTTTTTTTTTTTTATAATTCATTCAAAGATTTATCTAAATCTTTTATTGAATAAATCACACTAACCAAGGTCTCCAGACGCTTGATTTCTGAGAATCATCATTCTCATCATCTTTTTTCATAGCTTCAAGAGCTCTAAGACGCTCTTTTTCTTTTTCTTCACTTTGAACAAATTCAGCAGCCGTAGCAAGAATGTCAATTGGTGAAGTTTTTGGCACAACAGGTGAAAGAGTTGATTGATTTTCAACATTTGAAGAATAAGAATGATGAGGTTGTTGAGTATTATAAGATTGGTGATGATGAATAGAGGACAAAGAATGTTGGGTAGATTGATATAGATCAGAAGAAGGAGGAAGAAGATCTTTAATTGGAGGAATTGGTGGTGGAAGAGTACAAGGATTAAGACCCGGTAACATATAATGAGAAGATGGAATAGGAGGAGGTAATATTGGAGCAGAATTAGTTGGAGAGATAGGTGATACAGGTGAATGCGGAACATTATGACCATGACTATGACCACCATAAACATGATGTGTAGGATGAAGTTGATGATCTTGACCGTAAGAAGGCATGATTTTTATTGAAGGAGGCATCACCATTTTTTGAGAGGAATTATGAGAAGTCATAGGAGCACCAGTAACAGTAGCAGCTCTTTGCCTGGTAAATGGAGAATTTTGAGAAGCCTTTTTTTGAGAATTAATAGTCGAAGTAACACAAGAATGTCTTCGATTATTTCGACCCTTTGCCGGACAACCAGCTGAAGGACCACCATTTGTAAACATTGGAACAAAAGTGAAATTTCCAGGACTAATCATTCCAATAGAAGAAGCATGACCACTAGCAGCTTGAGCGGTTGAAACGGAATGATGATGTAAAAATCGATGATGCTGATGAGAAGCATTATGTTCATTTGCTTTAGCACGATTAGCTTTTGCACGACGATTCTGAAACCAAACCTGATAGTAATATGAATAGTAAAATTTTATGTAAGAAAAATATGTAATAAATAAAGTATTTTATATTAATATATATTTAATATATATTTAATATATTTATTAATATATATATATATATATATGAATATATATAATATAAATATATAATAAATATATAAAAACATATATATGTTTTTATTTATATACCTGAACTTCACGATTAGTCATATTTAATTTTTTAGCTAATTTTTCACGAACATCATAACTTGGAGTATCAGTTTGTTCAAACATTGCAACTAAATCAGCCAATTGTTCTTGAGTAATTCTTTTACGTTTAACTTTAGGAGGCATTGATTGAGAATTTTGATCAGAAGCATTTGGAGGAAATTGAAAATTAGGTTTTGTAGGAGATTTTACACCAGGAGTTTGAGGAGGAGTAATCATATTATTAATAGAATTATGATCAGAAGATCTATTCATTGAAGATCTACGAGTTGAAGGTAAAGAAGTAGAAGTAGATCTTGAAGAACCACCACCCAAATAAGTTGAATGTTTTGACAATGGAGAAGTAGGGGTCGAAAGAGAAGAATCGGAATTGATAGGAGTAATAGAATTTGAATTTAAATTTGAAGAATTATTATTATGATAGATGATGGTTAAATTATTATTATTTTCTGAATCATTTGAGACATCAGAAGATAAATTTGGAGCAGAATAACGTCTACAATGTTGAGAATGTTGAGAATGTTGAACATTCTGACTTGATGAAGAATTATAATAACCATCATCTAAATTCTCATAGTTATCAGCATTCGTTGATGAAGTTAATGATGTCGTTGATGCATTATCAGGTTCAGGATTTAATAAAGCTGATATGGGAACAATCGAAGGTCGATTAATAGAATTTGTTCGCGAAGAAGTCGACGTAGAGTATTGATCATATACGTTTGACATTTTTCTTGATTAACTAAATGATTATAGTATTACTAAATGATACGAATAATTGAAATAGAAACAAAGAAGAATAATAAAGAGATAGAATTCTTTCATTTCGTGAAAGGTTTTTTAAACACTTTACGCGAAAAAGGTTGATAGAATTCGTAAGAATTTTCTAAACTCACTTTATTTATTTTTTTTTTTCCTGCAATTTAAGACCAAACCAGGACGGAAATCTTTTCTTAAATAAAACCAAAAGAAAATTTAGAGAGAAAATTGGTAACCAATAATGTTCACTCCGGGAGTACAGAAAATAGAACAGTTGTTCGCTCGTTCGTTCGTTCGTTTGTTCGTTTGTTTGTTCGTTCGTTAGTTAGTTCAAGTGTATGACCAAAAAAAAAAAAAAAAAAAAAAAAAAAAAAAAAAAAAAAAAAAAAAAAAAAAAAAAATTAAAAAAAAAAAAAAAAAA